AGTGTATTGGGCAGTAGTTCTAGTAAGAATGCTTTCTTGGGGAAAGCTTCACATTAACCCAGTACATTGCAGGGACTCAACAAAAGTCACTGAATGGATGAATGAAGGAATGAAAACAAAAACTCTGAATGCTCATTTTGTCTCCCTTTGGCAAAAATCACAATTTTTTGATAAATATTCTGACATCAGACCTAATAATTCAAAAGTGAAATCATTGCTCGGGCATAGTCAGTTATTGATTTGTAAGTGAAAACTTGGACAAAGTAATCTTGAAAAAAACCGTTCCATTAGAAAGGATACCTTTTCTATGATTACCAGTACTGTTATGTCCTTTAAAATACCTCATGAGAACCCATGGGTATGTATACTCTATCCAAGAAAAGTTTGAGAAAGAAATTTTGTTTTTGTTGTTATTTCTAAAATGTATTCAGACTCTGACACTGTTGAATTCTAGCTTGCTCCTTCAGTCAGGTTGAAAACTCTTGGACTAAAACATGCACTGCTGAATTATCAGTTAGAAATTTAAACATATCAGGGGAAACAATTTCAACCTTCCTAATCTTTTGATAAGAACAGAGGATCTCTCCAATCAATGAGTAGACAAAGAACACAAAAGGAGGCTAGCATTTGAAAAATCTGTGTCAGGAACCAAACCAGATTTCACACACAGGCACACATACACATGAGCACATACACACACAGACCACCTCTTTTTGATCCATGAAAAACCGAAGACTGTAAATCGCTAGGGAATGGAGGGGATGGGGGTGGGGTGAGGCAATGATAGTTCAGGATAAGTGAAGTTTTATCAGAAGCCATGTTTCCTTGTTATCCTGATTGTAACTCTCTCCAACAATATATTTGGTAAGAAGATTGCCAAACATTTTTCAAGTACTAGAGCTTTCATTCAAAAAAAATCTCAGTTGAAATCCCAGTAAAACCAGTTTATAAAAAGGGACTGTGCTGGTGGAGCAGGGCATGGGGAGATATGCTCATTCCGTGCCACGCTGACTATACAGCACGTTCTGAGACCCTTTTGTGTGACAGGCAGATTCTGTGGAGCCACAGACTGAACACTACCTTAATCACACCCTTCTAGCCATTGAACAATGCGTAATGAGAATTGCTGAGTTTACAAAGATGTAGTTGAGAGTCTCGGTGATTTCGGCGTCCAGTTCTGAATAGGAAGTGTTCTGTGTGACCTTGAGGATACAGGTGTAGATAAAGGTACAGGGGCTCTTAGAAACCTGGTAATATCTCTTTTTTGGCTCCGTGTCTCTCGTGCATGTGTGGGCTGATTTAGCTAATTTGTTTCTTTCTCATCAATATTTATTCAGGGAAGACATCTCCTCAGTTAGCGGAAAGCCCTCTCCTGATCAAGGCCTCTCTGGAAGCTGTCATTGGGTTTGACCCCTGAGAACCAGGGCTGGGACCAGGGCGAGGTGAGCGAGGCATTTGTCCCAGGAGCAGCATTTAAGGGGTACAAACAAACTCTGTGATCACAATCAATAATACGTTAATGTGTTGTTTTTTAAAAAAAAAATCAGAACTAATTCCCAAGAATTCATGATGAGCACAGTCAGTATTTTAAATAATGACGGTATCTGACTGTGTGCTTACAAGAGTCACTGTGCTCTTTATCACCCTAATCCCAGCCCTGCTGAGAAGTAGGACGTTCCTGTTTCTGCCTCAAGTCAGAGAGCCATGTTATACTGTTGGAAATTTTCAAGGGACCAATGAGTGGTTAAGAGGTACCAAGATTATTAGTGAAATGTACACAGACCAGCACAACCAACAGAAAAGAGCCAAGGGACCATACCAGCGTGATGCAGTGCGGACTCAAGAAACTGGTTGACGTCTCTCCGAGGACTCTGCAGTTCTTGGCTGACGAAAAGAGATACTCTTAACCTGCAGTTAGGGCTCAAACAACTATGACTGTTTTCCGAGCCTACAAAATACATTTGCTAGTCGTCTCTAGGATACAGTCCTAGTAAATGTACAGATATTGAAACACACAGAGACCATATCTTGCCTAGGTTGTTCTCTTGTGATGGATGAGTCTAACAACTTATCTGTACATCAAGCATACATATAAGAGTGGGAGTTTCTTTACATGTTATGATATGAGTAGTTCAAGGTCAGTCTGTTAACTTCCAAATCTTAGAGTCTCTAATTGTCTGCATGCCTGAAATTCCACAACCAGGCACATCCCTTTGGACCTTGGAGGTCTGTGAGGATTTCCAGAACTTACTATTGTAATGCAGATGTGCCCTGCGAAGTTACCCTTTTTGAAGTGCTTTCTTTTAAACCCCCCCCCCCCCACCCCGTGGACATTAATACAACCAGGCAGCATGGTTCAGTGGAAATAGGACCTAGGAGAGGCACTGGGTACCAGACAGAAAAGCTAACCAAATATCATTAATGTAACTGGGAAAGGACACCAAACACAGATCTTTTCCAAACCACAATTTTGCTGAGAACTGGCCTTTGATGGGTAACTAATGTATCAGACAGGAGTCAGCTAAATCATTATTATTCATATAATTTTATGACAAATAATACAAAAAACCTAAACAAGAGATTCAAGGACCCAAACTGTCCTATACAATCTGTATTTATAATATATTATGCTATATGGTTAATTAAATTCGTTCATATATTTAACAAATATTTATTAAGCTCTACTTCTAAGTTCCCCCATTTAACTAAAAATCCAAAAAGCCCTTAAGGATTTTGTATTCAATATAAATATGCCCCAGGCTCTATTTGAACCTCTGATGACTATCTATCATTGATCATACGCTCAGGCTAACTTCACCTGAATCCGTTCTCTGGGAGTGCAACTGTTTTGCACATTAATTTAAAGAAAATGTAATTAGGGAAGTTACTGTGACAGTGCATGAGGCATAGTAGACACTTAACACATATTAAGTGCTAAATATATACCAGACACGGTGCTAAGTGCATTTACATTCAGTTTCTTATTTAAACCTGATATTAGCATCCTGTGTTCTCATACCAGAAAATCTCAGTGTAAGCTTAAAAAATTATTACACAATATTTTCCTTTCATTTGCGTGGACAATGTAGACTTGTTGATTTGGGTCACCACTGGCATAATAAAATGTATGATTGGATAAAAATGATCAACCATCATATTACCAGAGAAAGGGTAACTATACAGACATAAGTAAGAGAAGTTCAGTAAAAGCCTTTCTACTATAATGTCATATATGTGTTCCTGGGGGTAGGGTGGGAGCTTGTTCTGTAATATTGTACAGTAAAAAGCACGGGGCTTTTGGGACATGAAGAGTTGGGGTAAAGCATTCAGAATCTCTGGAGACGTGGAGCAAGATTACCACTAACCAAAAAAAAGAAAAAATCCTAATTTTAAAATACTAGCACCATTATATTTTCATTGGCATTTGCATCTAACAAGGATCAGTTCATACTTCCTTCAAAACTTAGGTCCTAGTGGGCAGTTTCATCGGTATAATCTTATCGCAAATTCTTTCCTCACTGGTTAACTTTTTTAAAAGGAATGCTTTTGTAGCTTCCTAACCAGCACTCACATTTTTTTTTTTTTTTTCCCACTGAATCAAATGCTTTGGAAATCATAGCTGTTGTTAAAGGTGCTGAACAAGCCACTGCTTGCAGGGACTTTTACAGGATTGTCAGCTTTTTTATTAAGTTTTCATATATTGCTATGGGTGTCATTTTAATAAACTTTTCTTTTAATGTAAAAGATACACAAAGAAATGTACAAACAGAAAGTATGAGGTGGGTGAATTTTTAAAAATGAGCACCTATGGGTAACCGAACCCCACCCAGATCAAAACATAAAACTTTAACCGTTCCCTCTGAAAATCTTCCCTGTGGTACGACTACCCTGACTTCTAATACCATAGAGTAGTTTTGTCAGTTTGAATTTATATAAGTTGAATCATACAGTTTGCTTTTAGGTTCGGTGTGTTGTCTAAGAGTGTGTGACAGTAAGATATCACATACAATAGTATGTTGTAAATGTCAGTAGTTTGTTCGTTTTTCCTTCTCTGTAGCGTTATTGGACATTCGTATTATTTTCACTTTTTGCAAATAATGCTGTTGGAACATTATTGTTGATGTTTTCCGATATACACATGTACACATTTCTGTTCGGTGTGTTCATAATGACAGGAATTGCTGGATTACAGTGAATGTGTATGATCACGTTTAGGGTATAGTATGAATTTTACCTATTGGTTGTACCATTTAAAGTTTCATTAGCTTTTATGAGAGTTTTTACTCTCTATATCCCCACTAATAATTGGCATTGTTGCCCTTATTCATTTTTAGTCATTTCTTGGGAAAATACAATACAGATAAAAAACACACACAAAACAGATTCATGGCTTAATGAACCATTTAAGGTAAATATCCTTGCAATCACTGCACTGATTAAGGAATAAAACTTTGCCATTTCAAGTTTCCTATCATTACTGTCACCCACTTCCTCCCCCCAAATTAGCCACTTTCCCAACTTATAATAGTGACCTCCTCCTTGCATGTGATTATACTTTTACCCCCAAATATTTATCTCTTAACACTATCATTTAGTCTTGTACATTTTAAATTTTTTACGAGAAAAAGATTTTTCCCAGTATTTTTCTCATACTGATCTCTAATAGAATTTTATTTTGAGAACATATTTTGTATGACCCCAATTCTTTTAAATTTATTAAGATTTGTTTCATATCCCAGAATATGGTTTATGCTTGTACATTTTTCCAGTCATGCACAAATTAGTATTTTATTTAACCATTCTGCTCTGAAATAGTGTCTTGGTATGTTTGAGTCCTGCCGTCCTCTCCTTCCCCACCTGTCAACGGAAGGTTATTGGTGTGGAATCAGGTTAGACCATTCTGCATTTCCCACCTCACTTAGCTTAGGGATAGTTCCACTTCAAACATACATACAACTACTTTTTAAATTGATTAACTAGTGCGAATGATATTTTCTTACATGTAGGGGGTGAATACCAGGTAAGATGGACTCAGTCCTTGTCTGCTGCTCATCACCAAAGTATCCTTTATTCTCCACTCCTAGGGTTTCTCTCGGTGGGCTGTCAAGAAAGGAATTGAATGTTGATACCAGCTAAAGTATGAGGTAAGCCAGTGGTTAATATTAAATCATCTTGGAGATTTTTTAAAGACTGATACTCATGTTACACTCTATAACAATTAAATCTGATGGAGGAATCAAATTTAGTATTTTTTTTAAATCTCCTTTTTAAAAAAAATTGGAGTATAGTTGCTTTACAGTGTTGTGTTAGTTTCTGCTGTGTAGCAAGGTAAATCAGCCACGCGTATAGAAATATCCCCTCTTCCTTGGATTTCCTTCCCATTTAGGTCACCACAGAGCATTGGGTAGAGTTCTCTGTGCTGTACAGTCTGTTCTCATTAGTTATCTATTTTATACATAGTAGTATATGTATGTCAATCCTAAATCCCTTTTGATTCCAGTGTGCAGCAAAGTTTGGGAGTCACTGGGATAAACATTTCAATGAGAGCAAAGTGTGTAAAAGCCTGACTTATTACTAATCTACTTGGCCTTCAGTAAGAGGCTTATACTTTTCTCCCATCTCTATGGCCATAAAGCTTACATAGTCTCAGTCATGGTCCCCTTCAACACAGAGAGAATACAGACATACCTTTGAACTTGCTTCAACTTTAATACATTTTTTGTAACGAATTAATACTATGACAACCACAACACCAATAATAACCAGGATGAGCCCAACCACCAGGATGGAGATATCTGTAACATTAAGACACATGAACTTCAGCCAGGACATCAACTTTAGGACGATGGAATATTAACACTTAACTGAGCTGTTACAATTCTGCTTATTCCTTCCTTAAAGGGCTTTAATTCTCCCTCCACCAGTTATTTTTTTAAATAAAGTAAAAGACCAAAACATTGCACAAATTATTATCTGTATTAACAATTAACACTCCACCCAAGATTCCATTGTGTTTAAGGGAATCACAGTCAGCAGGAAAAGTTGGATTGTCAGTTATTGACTATAGAAAAGGCCTTACTGTGTTACGGGTTCTTAGAAGAACTCATCCAAATTTAACTAGAAGGAGATACGTTCATTCTAAAAAGAAATTTTAGTAAATTCAAACTTGGGTATTTAAATATCCAATGTACCAAGAAGACCATACAAATCCATACAGAAATACAACATATGTGCAGTGGACTTAGAATATAAGCAAAAAGCATTCTCACTGGTGAGGCTTTTGATATATGAAGGATATTATATTAATCTAGGATGCTCACTGGTAACATTTAAGGTTTCCTCCCATTCCGCAGATGCCTGTACTGCCTCACACTGGCACTCAAGTTCACCATCATCCACCTGGAAGAGCCGTAAATCATAATTCATCAAAGGACTGAGGTAAGTTGTGTTTTGAAGCTCATTTAGCTTAGTGCCAGCTCTACATCAAACACACACACCCAAAAACACACACACCCACGCACTCATGAACTTTTTATTGATTAATTAACTAAACATACCAAAATCAACGTTGGGAAAAATAAGCAAACAAAATACAAGGAGCAGCTGTCTTTGAAGATGGCCTTGGAACAAGAGAATGATCCTGACAAATTCAAAACCAGATGAGCCAGGTAGTTTGACTTATTTTTCCAGAAGCCATAAATCTTATTAAATGAACAGCCCGGCTAGAGCTGGACATGTCATAACCAAAGAGGAGACTCTAACTAGGCTTAGTAACAGTGAGATAATATTAATGTGGGAAAAGAGTGATGGCATAATGTTTAGTTCATCAAAGAGCATTGTGTAATGGTTAAGAACACACACTCTTTCTGTCCTGAATTCTCAGCTTTTCCTTGCGCATACCATCAGTGCGACTGGTTCGCCATCTCTAAAAGTGGGCATAGAAATAGTACTTATCTTTTAATGTTGTTATGAAGCTTTTAAAATTTAATGTATATGTAAAATAATTGAAAGAGTACAACTCTATATACGTGTTACTGATTAATTTGGCTTAGGAAAGATGTTACCCACACATGCAAACTGCTAGGTACTGCTAGTATTGAACAGTGTTAAATGAGTGGAAAAAAATTGCTTTTATTGTTTTTCTCAAAAGCTTTAGGCTAATGTTGATATTGGTGTAATTTAACTGTAAGTGAAATTATGATAGATCCAATGTTAAACTTCAGGTTTAAACTTCATTCATATGTAAGCTCCTGGGTTTCTAGATTACCAGTCCAATGATAAGACATATACTTGCAACACTGGCATTATCTATGTATAATACTTGGTTTGGCTTTTGGATCAATATTATTGATGATACATGAAAAAAATGGATCCCAAATGCATATTTTATTTAAAAATCACTATACGTACGTATATACATACATACATACACGCTCATGCGCACACCTGCACTTATACATGGGCTCAGGAATGAAGTCTTGTGTAAATAAATGACTGGTAAGACACTAATTTTAAAAGGAGTCAAACCTTACAGAATTTTCATTGCACTGAGAGGAGCAGTTGGTTGAATTGTAGGCCTGTGCAGTAGTCACACATTCACCATTGCTGCACACCTAGAAATGAAGTCACCAAGATGAATTAGAATTACTTGCTCTTAGAATTTGCATCATTTGTTCTGTTGTGAAAAACCACATGTAGAATCTTCTGTGGAAGAAGAAATCCTCTATAAATATTCAATGGTTATTTGAAATGTGTACTGCACATTCAAATACTGTTGTATACAAACATTAATTATTATAATGCCTATGTCCTTATTAATTCTTCAAATGTTAATCTATCAAAGATTCCACCATTGTAATTGCAGCAATTTCTTCTATTCCTTCTATGAGGTTTTTTTCTGATTTGATAAGGATCTGTGATCGTTTATTTCACAGTTGCTGGTTGGGCATTTTGTCAAAATCAATTAATCTTCTTATTTATACTTATTACTTTCGTTTTAAATTATGCTCGTTTTGGGGGGTAGGTTTTATGACCAAATAACTGTTGTTGTGTTGCTTGTGGTTATTGCCTGGCTTATCTTAGCTCATTTATTTGTCAACTGTTATTTTTAGTTTTACCTGTTTCTTTAGAAAAAAAGCTTACATCTGGAAATGTTTTTCCAACTCTATTGAGGTATAATTAACAATTAAAAATTGTATATATTTAAAGTGTATATCGTGATGACTTTAGGTACTCTCATACATTGTGAGATGACCACAAACAACCTAATTAACCCACCCATCACGTCAAATAGTTACTTTTTTTGTGATAACACCTAAGATCTACTTCTCAGAAAATTTCAGGTACACATTACGGTATTATTAACTATAGTCACCATGCTTTACATTAGATCTCCAAAAGTTATTCATTTTATAACAGAGAGTTTGTATCCTTTAACCAATGTCTCTCTGTTTTCCCTACCCCTCGTCCTCAGCAACCATCATTCTCCTTCCTGCTACTGTGACTTTATAATTTTTTTAGATTCCACATATAAGTGAGATCATACAGTATTTGTCTTTCTGTGTCTGGCTTATTTTGCTTAGCATAAGTGAAATATCCAAGTTCATCCATGTTGTTAAAAAGGATTTCTATTTTTTAAGGCTAAATAATATTCATATATATATATATATATATATATATATATATATAAAGTCACATATATGTGTATATAATCACATTTTCATTATCCATTCACCTGTCCAAGGACATTTAAATTGTTTCCATTGGCTATTGTGAATAATGTTGCAGTGAATACGAAAGTGCAGATATCACTTCAATTTAAATTCATTTTCCAGTTGGCTGGAGTACTTGACTATTCTTCTTTTCAGAAAATAAATGCTGTCTAATTTTACTGTATATTGTCTTAATCATAAGGTTGTGCGGGTGTTGTTCTATTACTTTACACTCTGAATAATAGCTTGGTTATATATGTGGTTTTAGGGTCACCATATTTCTGTTTCCCAAAACTGTGGATTTTGCTGCATTATCTTCCGGCATTTTTTGTTGGGGATACATACGATGGTAACTTGATAATTTTTCCTATTGAAAAATAATACTTGCCTTCTTTTGTGCTCATAGAACATTTTCTTTATTGTTGACTTCATGGTATGAAGATAAGTCTAAATGCTCATTTATTTTTATGATTTTTTTCCCGGTACTGAGTTTTTACTTTATTCATTCCTAAGCTCAGGGACATTGTTGAGTATTATTTCCTTAATTACATTTTTTTACCTCTATTCTGTTTCCTTTATCTAGAATTCCTATTAACACTGTATCAGGTTTCTTAGCACTGTTTCTCTTGCTTTTATTCATTTTCTTTTATTTTAAAAAATTTCCTTATCTTATTTTTCTGTGTTAAGAAGTTTAGCTTCCAATTTCCTTTTTTTTTTTTTTCCCTGGAGTTTCTAGTCCATGGCTTACTGCATAAATTGCATATAAACAGGCAATCACGATTCATTTTGCACTTTGAAGGCAGTGCTTCTTGATTTCAAATTATATCATTTTTATAGATTTAATATCCTTCTAAATAGTATAAAATATAAATTTAACTTATTTCTATAGGATTTTCGTCTTTTTAAAAATGCATCTGTTTCATAGGAGACTATCATCTTTGATATCTCAGACTGGTCTCCTTTGTTCACTGTACTGAATTCTCTTATGTCTGTTGTTTATCTTCTTTCCTTATGCTTATAGAATGGGTTTTCTATATACATGATTAAACAGTGAGAAACATTGTTTTAAAACCCACGTAGACCTCACTTCAGGTATTTCAGGCTCAACTAAAGGAAAATACTGAGATGTATTTTATTTTGATTTTGCTGTTCTGTATGTTTAATAAAGAGATAACTACAGAGACAGTTTTTGAGCAATTCTTCTCTGGTAGAGAATGAAAGAATTAACTAATTTCCTCTCTTTCTTCTCTTCTCTCCTCTACTCTCATTCTCTCTGCAGTCTACTATCTTTCTCTCTTACTGTTTCTCGTCTTTTACTTTTCATCTTTTTTCTTATCTATGTTGTAAGTTCTATAGTATAACTAAGGAAAAGGGCACCCAGGGGTAATGGGATATGTTTGTCCTCTTTTCCCATGCCAAATTAAAATTTACCCAGAAAGAATAACTACTAAGAGAAACTAGAATGTTTTTAGGCATTTAAAGTTCCTCAAGTCTAAAAAATAGTATCTCAGAATAAATATGAAAATGACAAATTCTGTCAGTAGTGTCCTTGTGATACCTCTACAGACTAGCGTTCGCTATGCATAGATTCCCTCAATAGGAATTGGTTCAAGAATTGGTACCATTGTGAGTGGCGCACTTCTGTACTAAGATTTCTCTAGAAGGAATTAGGCACTCAATGTGGTGGTACATGGTCGTGATGTGTTTGCACAATCACGAAGTGTTCCTTAATAACTGCTCCCCTATCAACTTCTTGGCTTAATTCCTGCCATTCTGTGAAAGGGATGTCGTACGTTTGCTTTGTACCTCTGGCTGATTTTCCTTACCTGAAGTGAGTAGAAAATTATTCGATATTTTCTTCAAACCAATGCCTCATATACTCTATCTTACTGAACGTCCTTGAACTTTCTAGTTTGTGGTTGGTACACATACCCAAATTTTCACAGCTATTAACTCCTCACCATTTTTATGTTTATTTAGTCTTTCAATGGGAAACTGTATAATTAAATCTATGGACTTGAAATAGAGGTCTCTATGAAATTATTAAATTCTGATTCTGCTTTTACATGCTGAATTTTTACTTTCCAATTCATTTATCTATCTCATTATATGAATGATACTGTAATGCTTGTGGATGGCAGTGTCAGGGGGTGGTGCATATCACAGAAACTGCTCAACTTCAAAATTGCTGATTTTCTCTACGGCGTTATATTTTTTCAAATATTCTTTTGTTTATAAACCTTGATGAGATGGCTACTGTTTTTAGTTTACATTCTCACGTTTTCATCTTGGAGTGATAAAGCCTTTCCAATCAGGCTTCACTCTACCTGTTCAATTTAATTTTTTGCCATTTCACTCGGAGTGCCAGTCACTCTGAAATTGTCAGCTACCTGTCTATGCCATACACTTGTACCTTTGCATATTATGTAGGTATATTTCTTTTTAAAAAGTCTTTTCTCATCTTCTGTGTGTTGAAAAATGTTGTTCATAAAGTCAAAGGTGAAATGTTGCTCATTTAATGGCATCAGAAGATGCCACTCTGTGTTCTACAAGTAAAGTCAGTCACTTCCTTTGGACTCGTGCACATTGATCACATCACCATGAAAACAGTTGAGTTAGATTGTAGTGATACACTTAATTTAATCTACGAAATTCTCAAGTACACTCATCTTTACATCAAGTGTGTCCTGCACAGACACTGGCACCATAGTATGTGCCCAGTAAATATGTCTGAATGAATAAAATAAATGAAGATTCTATGGCTACTTCATAGTCAAATGAATTTTTAAAAAAAATCAGTCTATAATTGTATTGAGCATCTACTGTAAGACACTAATTAAGCACATTTATAATATTTTCATAATTTGTATAACAAATATTAAGCAAAATAAATATTTACTATAGTGTTATTGCTACTCTGCTCAATTAAAAAAAATACTGCAGAGTTTTTTTCTGTGTTCCCATATATAAGCCCTCTGGAACCATTTATAGGATCCAATGAGGTTTTAAGTGACTGGACAAGCAGTTTTAATAAAACAAAGGGCCCTCATCTTACCAGTCCATCTCCACATTTTGTTCCAGGAGCAACCAGGCCAAAATCCTTAGAATCATGGTATAAAAAAAAAGTTTTGCATTCAGTGGCATTCTGCTTCAGAGCCTTCTTAAGGTGATAGATCTTTTCTTCTCCAAGGACAGAAGAATGCTGCCCACCTGTGCAGAATATCTTTCCACATTTGATACCTCTGAAGGAAAGGAAGAGTATTCTCACACTTGGGACCAGAAATACAATAGAACTTTAGAGACTAGGTTGGAAGTGAAGTGGCCCGGTCATGTTTTTCTAAACCAGGCTTGTCAGAGAGGAGAGGCTGGGTAAACTGTTGGACCCTGTTTCCTGACCCTGGAAACTGAGATGAGTAGACAAAGATGTAAAATGATTGTATTTCTTTATGATATCTATGTAATTCTCATAAAGCAATATTAGCTCAAGTTTACAGGAGAATATTTCTTATTAGTAATTTGAATTAGCATAACTTGAATCAGGATATTAAGATTTCCTTCTTACTCTTTCTTGCGTGGAGCACATCAGTTGATTCTCACAACAAATCTATGAAGTTGCTATCATTATAACCGCCCCCCTACAGATTAGGCCGCAATTGGAAGTGAGAGAAGTTAAGCTACTGCCCATTTTTAGGATTATATTTAGAAGCAAAGTTGAACTTGATTCTAGGTTTTTATTATTGTTGTTTTCAGTCCAGATCCTGTTTGGGGGCACACAGAAAGCCTTGCCAAATGTCAGAAACAAACCCAGAAGTGAGGGTCAGCACATGCTTTTTAAAAATCAGATCTAACATCCAATTGTCCCATTCTGTCTTCAACTTCAGCGTCTACCTTTCTTTCTTCTGATGGCTTTCCTTCTTTTTTCCTCTTCTCCCCTTTTCTACTTATTTTCGCCCTCCTTCTGTTTGCTTCTTTCTCTCTTTTTTTTGTAGCTTCTTTTCCTCCCTTTCTTCCTAAGAATCTTAAATCTTTCCCATCTTTCCTCCTTGTGTTCCATGACTTTCAGTTACAAAGTACAGAACATAAATGCCTGTTAATTCCATCAGGGATGTGTGCTCTCTCCCTTCTTGCTTCCCTTTCTTCCTAATCTCCTCAGTAAAAACAGGCTGGCAGCTGTCAGAACAAGAGCTGTTCTGATTTTGCAAAACACTCTGAGAGGGCACGTACTTTTCTTCACAAGGAATTAATACGTGTTTCGTGTGTTTGCAGTATCCAAATTTATTTCCAATTTTATTCATCTTGTAGCAGATATCAGAACTGTCTTTTGCCTCTGGGACCCAAAAATGGTATGATAAAAGTAAAACATTGAAAGCATGAATATGACAAATCATAAAATGCCTTACTTTTCTAATATAATTGAAATTTCAGTGTCATGTAGCAGTGAAGCAGAATGGGACAACTAAATAACTTAAAAACTATCCTATTGCCTCGGGAGGATATTTTAGGAAGGAATATGAATATAAAAAAGAAAGAAACATACCTTAACCCACATACCGAGCTAGTCAATTAATATTAGAGGTAAAGTCAATGAATATGAAAGGTATTATTCAGAAAGGTGCCAGGTAATATCTGCCACAAATGGCATTATCTCCAATCTTGTCCCCAGATTCCTAAGGGACAGTAACAGAAATAACGGCTGTTATCTTTATCAATCATTCACTGTAATTGTCTCTCGCCTTTATCAAACACTTCAGAGCACTGATCATCCCGGGTGGGACAATTCCCCATGAAGTAGCCTTTTGCATTCTTGCAAGGAAATCCATTTATTTGGAATTGGTCCTTAGGACACCCGGAAGAGTGGCCAGTACACATCTCAGGAAAATCACACTCATCTTTTGCTGGTCTGCATATAGACGCTGCTTTTTTCAACTGTTGAAGAAAAATGAATAGATTGAATCTTGGACATCCATAGGTTAGGAAAGGTTCAGTAAGTAGGAGGAAGTAAGGAGGTTGACCCATTTAATTTATCTAAAAAAGTTTTAAGGATGGATCATGACTTCCCTCTCCACTCCACTGAGAATTATTAGCATTCTTGGTTTTTATGTGATTTTAGGAACGACAAGTTGGTGTTTTTGAAATTTGGTATTAGAGCAGCACTGAGAAGAGTTGGAATGGACATAAAATGGAGAAATGAAGCATATGTTTTGTTCATCTTGCCTTCTTCATCCCTTTAGTACATGCCTTTCTCACACCCCACCCCACCGTACACGCGCAGCTGGGAACGCCTGACTCTAATGAGGAATCACCACTCCCAATAAATCAGATCTTTTCAGATGAACTAAAAACATACCCAGGCTCTCACTGCTGGAGGGCACGACATGGAAATATTCTCTCTCATTCAGCCATTCAATATGCATTTAATTTGTGCTGGGTTTTGGAAAAATTTGAAGATGAATAAAACACACTTCCTTTCCTTTGTCAGTTCGCAATCTAGTGGCGTGAAAGAAGTGTCAATAAACCCTTAGACAGAGGCATTTGGACTTTTGGTCATCTTTCCTAGGAATATATCTCCAGCTACTAGTCACTGTCACTTTCCAATTCCAGGATAACCCTTTTCCCTTTCAGTTCACTGTTGTTGGGATGCCATTTTCCCCCTCAGCTGAGGTCAAATAGGTTGGTAATGATCGACAAAAAAAGCAAGAATCATGTTAGCCGTATAACTCCACTCCTAAAAGTCCAAGCACTGCTTACCTGCTTCTCCACTCCCCAGACCATAACACTGCTTAGTATTTAGAAGTCTGAGCATCTCAGAAGAGGCTGTATTGGGTACGAGCAATCTTAGCTCCAATCTGGGATTAGTGGTGGAAGGTCATTCAGTGGCCAGATGACTCTTTGGTTCTATGTATACTTAATAAACTGAAAACAGAGAAACCCAGTCCTAGCAAAGGATCTTACCTGTCGAGATTCACAGCATTCTCCTTCTGCACAACTAAATCCTGGCTTCAACATACATTTGTGTGCCTCACGGCAAGGATTAGTGCATTCCTGGCAATAATCAAAAATGAAAAATTAGAAGCAGTTTGTAGTTTGGCTCCTGTTTGAAGAGTTAATTTGTGGTGCTTCTATGCAATTTAGCCATAATTGTTTTTCAGAGTTAAATCCAATACATGGTCCTTGACTATGATATGTATACAAAGACTACTGTGTGCAACTGGTGTTTGGGACTTTTACTTTGTTTCCTTCCCTTGTGCTCTTCAGTACTCCACAGCTAATGATTCTCACTGGTAGCATACAAAGCCCGGAGTTTGTGACCTTCCATTCTCCTGATGACTTCTGTTCTCTGGAAGAGTCCTGCTGCTTCTCATGCTAAATGTTGGGTGTGAGATAATACAACTTCTGATTTTATATTGTCCTCAAGATGCTAAATATTTATGGCTGAACTTTTAACAAAATGCATCGTTAGATAATAATAACAGGATGGACACTTAGACCCTATCTGCTGAAACAAAGTTAAGACTGCAAAATATTGTCTGCATCCTGTCATGTAAGGTACTTCAAGTGTTGGAATGAAACTGTAGGACTATTCCAAAAAATGCACATAGGCAAAAGCATCACTTTCCAAAGTTAGGATTCTCTTTCCATTTAATCTGAGACATTTGAAAAATAGAAGCTGTAACCTCTGGACCTTCGCTGCCTCCGCTCTGATCTTGGAGTCTCTTCATAGCCAGAGTGAATTTTGAATTGTGCAGTGTCTAGAAAATAGCTACTTAAAATGTGGTCCTTGGACCGGCGGCCTTAGACAGCCTTGCAGGTTGGTAGGAATAGGATCTCAGTTCCACTCCAGACCTACTGAATCAGAATCCACACTTTAACAACATGCCCAGGTGATTTATAAGCACTTGATAATGTGAGAAGTCATTATCTAGGACACATACCTATATGATGACCTCTTGAAAGAAAAAGCTCCTATGTTAGAGAAAAGCAGAATAAGAATTAATTTAAAATATGCCTCCAAGGCTTATTCTAAATGTACCAGAGACTGCAATGAATATGTGTAAGTTTAGAAGGTTTCTGCTCAATTAACTTTTCTAATAATGTGAACTGGTCAGCAGGGATATAGACTAACCTCATAAGACCCTGAGTAAAACTCGATTGACTGACTGTGAGGGATTTTGTAGAACAGATTCCTACAGTGCATGAGAGATCAGACTTAACAACACCTATGAGCCCTTCTCACAAGAGGAGCCAATTAATGTATAAACCAGGCTAATGTGATGCTTTGAATCTCCAGCAAGATCATTACATGACTTGGTAAGAAGCCTTGCATTGAGGCTGCACCAACAACTTGTTTCCTTTTTTTTTTTTTTTTTTTTTTAATTTATTTATTTATTTATATTTGGCTGTGTTGGGTCTCTGTTTCTGCGCGAGGGTTTTCTCTAGTTGAGGCGAGCGGGGGTCACTCTTCATCGCGGTGTGCGGGCCTCTCACTATCGCGGCCTCTCTTGTTGCGGAGCACAGGCTCCAGACGCGCACGCTCAGTAGTTGTGGCTCACGGGCCTAGTTGCTCCGCGGCATGTGGGATCTTCCCAGACCAGGGATCGAACCCGTGTCCCCTGCATTAGCAGGCAGATTCTCAACCACTGCGCCACCAGGGAAGCCCTCCATTTTTTTTTTTAAAGCACAGTTTTTAAAGCTTTACAAGAATTACCATGGTTGATTAATGGCTACATCCCTGTCTAGATTCTAGCTGAGGTTACACTTTGTAAATGTAAAGGCAACATCATTTGCAAATACCTGAACAGGGCCACAATCACACTCTTCTCCATCGTCCAACCTCTTGTTTCCACAATATGGATAATCACTTAACTTATCAGAAAATGGAATATTGAACATGCACGTTGGCTTGTAATCCTTGAGATATTGCTGGGTTTTGCTGCATTTACTGAATTTTAGTGCAGGAATGCTAGAGATAGGATGAGTTAAAAATAAAGATTAATCATATCAATGCATAGTGGTAGAACAGCTATGAAAGTTCTATGAAGAATTTAGAACAAAAAAACATACGTAAATGATAGACTCAAGGTCCATTTACCTTTTTACTCTTGTCTCACTGTTACAGCAGAGTAGTAGCTGGGCTCTTTATTATAAAAAATGTCTTATTGAAACACAGCCAACACATACTATTTTAGTGAAAATACTCAGACTATATATCCTCCAGAATATCCTTCCTGAAGCCCATGGTTCCGACCAATTGTGCCTGCTGCTCCCATGTCACTTTTTATTTGCCCCACTTGAAATAATCTATATATTTGCCTACCATCCATGCAAGAATACAAGCTTCTCAATACAGGGACTGACTCATGTTCAAAGTTTTTAAAAATAAGCACTAGTTAACACAGTGCCTGGCGCAAAGTAGTTCTCTATAAACATTTTCTGAAACAAACTATTAATATATAGTACGCTCTTACACATCTTAGGAATGTGATATATTTCTTTTTAAGCTGAAACTTGCCTCCCTTCCATCTTCCTTTTGTTTTGACTCCTTTGTTATTATTATTGATACAATGATTGGATACAGATGGACTTTTAAAGTCTTGGATACGTTTGAGTGGGATGTTATGGTCCCCCCAAAATATTACTAATTATGTAGATAATGATGTAAAATTAGATATCAGTTACTGAGTTCTTACCCAGGAGATATCAGGAAAATTCCAGATAATAACCATATGTCCCTACAATATTGAGTTTTACTCAAAGCCACTCCCCCAATATTGAAATATATTCTCTATGTTGTTTAAGCCTCACCTTCCATCACTATCCATCACGCATTTTCCCAAAGTACAGGTACATGGGTAATCATCATGCCGCATCCCAAGGTCATGCCCCAACTGATGTGCCATTCTGCTTGCAATGGCATTTAGGTCACAGGTCAAAGATCCTGATGCCAAAAAAGATGTGCATTAGAAAGTTCTGTAAGATAGTACACTACAGTACATAAAGCTTTGAACTAGTGGTTGAGAGCTGGTTTCTAGCTTCCGGTTAACTAGTATTTTATCTAAGAGGTCGTGGACTTAGTTATCTTCCGTTCTTGCACCTTAGTTTTTTCAGTTATATAATGAGGTTGGACAAGTAACCTTTTGGATGTCTCTAACACTAACACTTTGAAATTTTTTTTTTTTTGGTGCAGTCATTGTTGGTTTTATATAGACTCATTTTTACAAATAGCTCAAATTTATTAATTAAAATCCTACACAATAAAATAAACATTATTGATTGTCTTCTATTATTAGATATTCAAAGGGAGTAAAAATAAAAATATGTGAGTTTTGGGTTTCCAATTTATAGTCTCACATTAGGCGATAATGTTATACAATCATGAAGAGGCAGTTACCACTATGAAAAAAGTCAGAAGATCAGTAATGTAAAATCCAACACAGAGTTGATAGTTATCTCTGTTCTTAGTTCTATTTCATGTTTTAATCTCTATATTAATGAAAAAAATTAAATTTCCAAAGAGGGGTGGGATATCAGGTTACTGTAAAAGTAAAACACCCCTAATTTGGTGATTTCATCTTACTCATATGACATTTAAAATGTGTCCTGGATGGGTTATACTGTCACAGTTGGAGTGGACAGCCTATATTAGATTAATTTGACTCTATTATGCAAAATTTTGTTTCTAAAATACCATGGGCAAAGGCGTAATCATAAAAAGAACCATAGGAATAATAAATCAGGTAGCCATTTTAATAAGTACTGGCTTTTAAGTTCAAGGTCTTACAAGACTTGCTTAAGCATAACAACAATTAGGCAGAGACACTATAGGAAATCAACCCAAACCTTGATATCTTTTTTTTTTTTAAACAAATTTTGTAATGTATTTTCATAGTCTTTGTGCATATCCTTTTTTTTTTTTTTCCTTTCAAACCTTGATATCTTAAAGAATGTCTTAGTGTTATTTGGGCAGCATTTACTAGAAGTGTAGTGACTTGGGAAAGGATCAGGTAAACAAGGGGAGTCAGCAGTATGTAGGTTTTAGGCTTTTTGAAAGTGAATGGTAAAGCCATCTAGGTATGATATTTTCCACATAAGAACAATTATCCTTACTTGCTAAACCAGCCATCAAGTTTTATGTACATCACGTGTCCTTATAAGTAACTATATTTAATATGCAAAAGAGATTTCCTAATCTTTGTAGGTTAATTTGTGTATGACATTCATATAAACTCGGAAAACACTGGTTTATCTTCATTATTTATCTATAGTTTTTAATAAAACATTTCCCATTTAATAACGGAAACATGACAGTTTCATCGTGACATTTTGGTGGGAATGTATGACAGGATGCATACATGGTCCCTTTCAATAGGACACAGAAGATTACAGAAATCTAAGGTAAGCATTTTGATTAAGTAATACAACATAAATAAAACACAGCCCACCTTAACGACACTGGAGGAATAATAGGGCAGGCATATACCCCCTGAATAGGAAGTTCCTTGTGCATGTGCTTAGAGTCACTTTCCACTATGAACGTGATATAAATAAACTCGTAGTTCAGTTAACACAAACACTGAAGTGCAGTGAACCCCCCCAATGCTAGTGCCTTGGCACTGGAGTTCTGGAATTGAGGATGACCTTGGTTGATATGAAGCTCATTTTAAACCTGTGGTATTTTAGAGGCATTGAGAAAGTCAATGTAGTCTTGAGTTGAAATCATAAAAGAGTACTTTCCCCCCAAAAATAATAATAAGGTCAGAGTCCATTTGACTTGACTTTAGTTTGCCCTACACTCAACTTTGGATAACACCACTTAAAAAACCAAAAAAGTTTAAAGTGTTCAGAGGGTAAAATGCAACATAGTGAATGGACTCAACACCACGATTAATTTGCCGTGGTGGAAAATTAAAACAAAAAAATTAATCAACCGTAGAAACTCATAGAGGATTTGATAAGTATAATCAAACATTTAAAACACTTGTCATGTGAAAACAGGTCTATTCCTGGGTTATCTAAAAAGACAGATGTACATGTGTATATTAAAGGGAGCCAAATTTCATATGCTTTCAAGAAGAATATTTAGAGTTGGACCACTTTAAAAAGAACTATCATAGGCTGAAGGGCCGTACGTAGAGTATAATAGAGACGGTTCAAATACAAGAAAGCTAGTCAGGCTAGATGACCCCTTTCAGTGTTTAACTTTTCTGATCAAGGAGATATGCTGTATTTCTTTCTTCACTACTGATATGTTTCTGCCCCTACATTTTAAAGTCATTTAGTAGCACTCCCCCAAATCTCTATTTGTAGACATACTATTGGTGGTGAAGCTACTGCTCAGAGTAAGAGACACACATGGAAGTAAAAGATTGTCTACTTATACCAAGTTAATTTTCCTAGGCTAATTTATTAAGTATTTTAAGACATACATCCAAGGAATAGGCAAATAGAGCTAATCTTGCCTGCTGTGAAGGTCATGATAATATTTTACTGTATCTCCATAATTTTGGGGCACAGTAGTACGTGAATATCTGAACCCAACCACTACTCCCCTGGAGATATGTGTTGTGGACCATCCTGGATATGAAAATCAGAAATGATATTTGGAGGTCTGGTTCACTCATCAGTCTGCCAAAGGGCTGAACCTGACCTCTGACTATGGGCATTGGAAGCTTCACAGTTCTGAGTTCAGACTGAAAGTTAACATTTAGATAACGATAGAAAGCATATTTGCAGGCTATGTTTGTAGACTTTAGGAGAAATACTGGTAATATAGGTAGATGAAATAGTTAAAGTGGATACCACTCTTATATAGTAGCTTTAAGGACATCAAAAGAGATGCTAAAAGACTCCACTGCTTCAAATTTGTTCTTCCCTAATTTAACATTCCTTATGATGACAGGACTATGTGAAACACAAAGTTGATGTCAGATCAGTTCCACCATAATTTATCATTTTCCTATAGGCTGAATAGTGTACTAGGTATTTTGAATGACAAAGTGGTAAAAATAGCCCCCCTTTTAAGGAATTAATGACCTAGTATTACAGAAAAATCCAACCCTTTACTTAGGAACATTAAAGCTGTGGCAGGTTTAATTTATCAGATTAATAATCTGTTATCTTAAGTATAGATGCTCTTGAAGAGCTGGTCTGGATGCGCACACTCTGTTGAGGGAAAATGTCCAGAAAATGAAGTGCTTTCTCAGAAAGGTGGGTTTCGGTGCAGTGTTGAAATGGGATGGCATGGAAGGCTGAAGAGAGTTCAAATTGGATGCTGATAAGTAAAGTAAATGGATTCTAAGGGTGCTTTGCTTACCTAATGACATTTTCAACTCTGCCCAGCAACATGAATATTTCAGGGTTTTCATTTCTGATATTAATCATTATTAGGAAGAAAGGTTATTTACAAGCTCACCTGGAAATGTTCTGTATAGCTACACATAACATTTTTGTTCCTGTGGCTTTTATCCAAAAATCAGCTGCTTTAAAAAGTATTTTGGTTTATTTGTTTTGTTTTCTTTTTTAATAATCCACCTAAGATGTGCAGGAAAATAGAGCAGCGACATACCTGAGTAACATAACATGATCAAAATTCTTCCTCTTTTAAAGGATTATTTCTTGCCAAGCCGAAAAACGTAATAAGGTCGTTTCTATTTTAGAATCTATACCTATTTTGTCTCCATTCGTCCATATTTCAAGGCCAACTAATGTCACTTGAATGTCCAAGGTTTTATAAATCTGTTCAAAGGAGAAATAATTTTTCACAATGTCAAGTTGCAGAAGGATCCTTTATCATGGCTATATTCCTTTACATTAAAAAAAGTAATTTTAATGTGAGAAGTACATAAGCAAAAGTTTAGACCTCATTTTACAAACAGTTGTATTGAAGCAGAATGTAGAGTTGAATCGTCCAGATACTGGGTGAATTGCCGTGTCCAACAAAGAAACTTGACCAAAAACACCTGATTCTCCTTGAACTATTATAATCCTTACATACACTGGGCTCAGGATATGTCTAAAATAAATAATTTACTAAAGCTCTGAGATTATACCTGACCTGAAAATATGAATTTATGAACAGTGGCACATAATGGAATGAATGTTCTTTATTCATCTCTCTACTTAGGTCATGAGTTTGTTCTGTAGCAGATTAGAAAGTTGATATTGTTTTCAAAAACCCATAGCTTAGCTTTCATGTTTGTTCCCCATGTTTGATTTTTGGAACTACTTTGTTGTGTAAGAAATCTTATTGGGGATTGCTCAAAGCCTCAAAACAGACAGAAATAGTTGTAGCCCAAGGATTCTCACCCCTACTCCCATCTGCTTTTGTAAACACCTAGTTGATAGGTACTTTGATGCCACGACAAAAGAGTTTAAGAGTTTAAGTCATTTCATAACCGTGAGAACTATGGTTCTCATAAACTTTTTTTTTTTTTAACATCTTTATTGGGGTATAATTGCTTTACAATGGTGTGTTAGTTTCTGCTTTATAACAAAGTGAATCAGTTATACATATACATATGTTCCCATATCTCTTCCCTCTTGCGTCTCCCTCCCTCCCACCCTCCCTATCCCACCCCTCCAGGCTGTCACAAAGCACCAAGCCGACCTTTAGTTAAATCATGATCTCAAACCTAACTAGATGTCCATTCCTTTTGGCTCTGATCGTATTGTGGAATAAACCTTATGAATTAGGTCCCACCAAGCAAGATAATTTTTTTAACCTTTGAATTCTCTACATTCGTGGGTGGGCTTTAGGTCCATAAAACTGGATTCAAGTGCAAATGGGAACAATATTTGTTATTCTATGGATGTATTCTCTTCTAGTGAAAAAATATCCTATAAAATAAAGCCATATTTTATCTACAGAATGCTTGGATGGGTTTGGATATACATATTTGGAAGGTTGTTGAGAAAGAACTTTGGAATTTCTGAGACAAAAGAGGTGAAGACATGAAAGTAAAGTGAGAAAGGATGCAGTGAAATAATGAGTGTGGAGGATAAAGGGCCAGTAAGAAGAGATATGACGGGAAGAGTCAAGGACTTTTAGACTGTGCTACTTTAAATTGTTTGTGGTATGAGCCCCCAGTCTGAACTGAAAATCTTTAGTAAAAGTTCAGCAATGTGCAACAATCTTGGAGATGGGACCCCAAGGAGAGAGTTAGAGTCTTATATTTGGGTCAGTGTTAGAGGAGTAATAAAGACAATTGCAAGATACAAGAAACAGGAGAAGCAGCACTTGAGATCACCCCCAGAGCAAAGCCAGTACTGGGTGTGGGAGCTCCCCACTATGCCCAGGAAAGGGATTCATTTATATCCAAGGCTAATGGTAGCTCTCAGCCCCTCCAGTCCTGTTTGGGAAATTGAGAGTACCCTGAAGCAATTCCTCCGCCTCCTGCCCATGCTAGGGGGCTGAGACAGCCTCGCGCACTGTGGAGACTGTTTTCCAGCCCCATCTGACCCGAAGGGCTGGTGAGAACACCTGAAAGATATGCATCCCAGCGGTGCTCAAGCTGAGAGAAGGGCAGACAGAGCCAGTAGTCTGCAAGCAAAGCCAGTACTCCTATTCAGCTGGGAAACTTGGGGTCAGCTTGAGTTAAGGCAGCAAACAAAGAGCTTTACCAGTTTCAGGGCTGCTTCTCCTGCTGTGCCCAAGCAGGGAATTTAATTTGCAGCCCTGCTCATTGCTGAATATAGACTTCAGCCTGTCTGACCAGGGACCCTCACTGTGAGACGCTACATAGCCCATTCAACTGCGGAACTTGAACAGAGTTCAGCCCGTGGCTTCCCCCATCTGCGGAGCAAAACTGGTGGCCTCATCTACCCTGGGAATTCAGTGCACTCAGGTCTGATTCAGGCCCCAAACATCCTAGTGAAAAACTAGAAAAAGATCAAATGTCCTTCAGCTGGTGAATGCAAAAACCACTGATCTAAAGGAGCGATTTCTTACAGTGTCTTTCTTTGGGGCCTCTTTATCCTGGTAATGGAGCTGGTCGGAAGGAGTCAGCTTTAAAAAGATGTGTATAATTCACAGTCTTGCTTCTTTGACAGGATACTAGTTCATTTCATGTTAGACGAATTAATCATTTTAGTGAATTTTACAGAAATATTTCCCCTGATTTCTCTGTCTAAACATGGGCAATAAATTATAGCTTGAAAGACTTTTTGCTATGCAGAGGTCATGGAAGAGTGATTTAAAATAGTGGATTTGATCTACTCATGATGGGTATTCAAATCTTTGGACATTGCTTTATAAATTTTGTGATAGTGACCAATATTTGAAACTTATGTAAATATTAAGTGTCATTTACTTAGAAAACCAAAAACTTAGAGCTATGATGCATTTGTTGCTGTGATTTTTTTTTCAATGGAATTTTGCTGGACTACTTGGTGAACTGTTATGTTTTGGGCTGTCTTAATATCAGTATTACTACAAAAATCCAGCAGAGATCTATCCTAAAAGTTTCTTTCCATTTGTGTTTTTGGCTTGATTCAGACTGTATCAAATCTTACCATGTTGACAAAATTGACCATTCCCCAAACTCGATTCCTCAGTTTGTTAGGGTGATTATTCTTGCGATACTGGAAATATAGACATCAAATCAATACTCATTAATCATAGGAGTTGAATAAAAATTCAACATCATGAGATATTTCGAAGAAAAAAATTCATTGGCTTTCCTTCCAGAGGGCTAAAATATCTGGGCAACTTATGCAGAAATAACATGTTTTATATAAAGTAACTAGATATAGCAGTTTCAAAAGTCATGCTTCACCTTGGCACTACTTTAAGGTTTTCTTTATGACTCTGTTCCCTCTTCACATTAAATATATTACATTACGTTGATTTATTAAACCAACTGATAAGTGTGCTTTAGAGTCCATATTCATAACAAAACTTACTAAAGCTCCACAGCAACCATTATATTGCAAAAAACAACTTTGTCCGCACTCCTGTATCCATGGTGGCTACAAACTAAGGAGCATGTAATCAAGGACCTGGAGCCAGGGATAGGATGGAGAGGGACAAGAAATTGTGGTTTCCCCTCCTTTCTCTCCAGGAAAAGGCTAAGAAGACAAAGCAGTTTCCTGCTCCAGCTAATTTTCTATGTTGTTCTCTTCTTACAAATGGATTCCCTATTTGTACTTGTTCTCAACATTATCAGTTTAGACCTAATAAAATACACTTAATAATAACATAAGGTGGGCTTCCCTGGTGGCGCAGTTGTTGAGAGTCTGCCTGCCGATGCAGGGGACACGAGTTCGTGCCCCGGTCTGGGAAGATCCCGCATGCGGTGGAGAGGCTGGGCCTGTGAGCCATGGCCGCTGAGCCTGCGCGTCCGGAGCCTGCGCGTCCGGAGCCTGTGCTTCGCAACCGGAGAGGCCCGCGTACCGCAAAAAAAAAAAAAATAAATAACATAAGGTATCCCATAGAGATACATGCAAGTGGTCAAGCTTCTTTTATAATAATAATTTAAAAAATGCCTTTTCTGAATGCTGCAATTATCCTATAGTTAACATTCCATTGCTCGCCTGTTATCTTAAATATCTGAATACCCCCAAAGATATTACATTAGAATCCCTTTAATTTTCATTTCCTACCCACTCCTCAACTTACTACTCATTGATTTAAATGCCACTATTCTACTGAAACTATTCCTGATAGGCCCATAAATGTCCTCTTAATCATCAAATCCATTGCATTACTAGAGTAAACCTTCATTGTTATGCACACTTTTTCTTTTGATATGTGCTGGATTGGGTTTGCAAATATTTTTAGGGTATTTGCAGTCATATTTGTAAGTGAGATTGGCTTATAATTTTACTTTCTTGTCTGGACTTGTTAACAGTATCATCATAGGTTGTTATGGTAATGACCCTTAAGGAATCACTCTTCCGGGTATCTGCACCGATGTGTGGTTCCCTCAACCATTGATTCTAGACTTGGCCATATGACTTTAGTTAATAAGACATTTATAAGTGTCCTATAAGCAGAAGCTTGAAAAGCTCTTGTACATTGAAGCCTGGTCTCTCATGATGTTTTGATGCCCAGCTATAATACCAGAAGAACGGGCTTGTCTACTTGGGACACGTGGGCCAAACCCAACACTATGTACCAGACAAGTGGCTAAGGCCAGGTTACACCATCCAGCCAGCCCAGTGGAAACACCAGATTACTGCAACTGTATAAATGACCCACACTAAGTTTTGGGTAGTTTGTTACACAGCAGTAGATAACTAATATGAACGTTATAATAACTATGAAATGTGTGAAGAATGTTTCCTATTCTTGAAAACAGTGTATAAAAGATGGGGTTTTCTGTTACAATAAATTTTGGTAAAATTTGTCTTTAAACTCATCTGAGCCTAGTTATTTGTCAGTAGATTGTGGACTACTTGTTTAACTTTAAAACTATGTAACATTCTTTTTGGAGTTTCCTATTTCTTCTCAAGTCAGCTTCTTAACATTGTACTACATTCTTCTACTCATAAATTTATTGGCACAAGGTTGTACATATATTTTTTAATGATATACATATAACCTTTCCTATATTTATAGTTATGTTTTTCTTTCATTCCTAATTTTATTTGTACTTCTATTTTTGTCTTAATAAGTATTGTCAGAAGTTCCTCTATTTCATTTATCTTTCCAAGGGACTAGCATTTGACTTTGTTTCTTTTTGTCTTGTGCTTTTTATCAATTTTACTCATTCTTAAAATTATTTTTCCTTCTCTTTTGTGGTTTTATTCTGTGTTTATGTTCTAACTTTTCCAGTTAGACTCTTAATTCATTAAATTTCTTTCTTTTTTAATATAAATGTTTGTCTATAAATGTCCTTCTAATTACTGTTATGCCACCTGCATCTAGAAAAATTTATCTCAACTAATGTTTTCTTTTTGCTATTATAAATATTTCATACTTTCAGATTTGACTTGTTTAGTCAATTAATATTTGGCAATGTATTTTTCTTTTAGTTTCCAAATCAATTTTCGTTTTGTAGTCTAGTTTAACAATTTTTTTGTTATACCTTCCAGTTTGGTTGTGGTTAAAAAAAAGCGTGATCTTCTCCATATATATCTTTCCTATCTGTTTTACTTCCTTTGTGGCAAAATGTCAGTTTAATTCTTGAAAATGTTTTGTTTGAACTTGAAATGAATACATATTGTCTTTTTTCTGGTTGCAGTATACATCCATCAATTGATTAGATCAAACCTATATTTATGTGGTTCAAATCTTTTCTATTTTTGTTGAATTTTTTCCCTGCTTAGCCTAAAATTTTCTAATAGAGATGTAAAAAACAACCCTTCTTACCCTGTAACCATGTTTTTTGTTGTTGTTGTATATCTTTTTATACTCTGCTGTAAGATGTATAATCTGAAATATCGTTGGATGATTTGCAGTTCTTGGAGAGCTCATTCTTCTTTTCATTATGTTGGTTGACTCTTCCTCGTGTGATTAGTTTTACCTTGGATTATGATTATAGGGCATTTTTGACGTGGAGTCTAGCAGTTTACCGAATTTCTGATCAGTTTTTTTGTTGAAAGCTTGGCGTGGCATTTCTGTATCTAAAGAAAAGTATGTCATGCTCCACATCAGTGCAGGACACAGGCTTAGGATTTTGTTTTCTCATGCATAGCATTTTCCCTGCCCATTGCTACAGGCAGACAAACAAAACGTTTCCTTTCTCTCTGCAGTTTCACTAGAGAGCTTTTCCAGTTTCCTTTCAGAGATGGGACAGCCCTTTGTGGCTCTGGGCCTTAGGCAATATATTCTGTATACTGTGTGTTGTGTCACCATGCCTTTGAATTTTAGTTACTGTTTCGATGGAGATTCTCTGCCTCATTTTTAGCACTTGGAGATTTTCTGTGTTTTTTTTAGCTCAACTATAGATGGTGAACATATTTTCAATTTTTTGAATTTGTTCATCAGTTCCGTATGTTCATGATGTGGAGGGAGGTTCTATTTTGGCTTAGTCTGCTGTACTGCCAAAGGACATTATCATCTCTTATATATGCCTGTTTGGGGAAGCTAAAAACAGAACATGGAACCTGGAATGGAATTCTGATTGAAATACTACTTTCTCTTTGTTAAAAATCACAACTATAGTTTTATAAGAATGAATGGGGAGCAAATGTTTCTCTGAAAACTTACCATGTTATCATCAGCAACAATGAACAGTTCAATATACTTTTCCTTTTCCATACTCTGGAAATTTATGGAAAATTGAATGAAGTACGGTTAATGTCTCTTATCTTAACATTTTAAGCTAAAATTTTCAAGGTGAGAAATGTTAGTATTATTGGAAGTTGACATGCAGGAGTATATCTAATAATTCTAGAAATGTAGGTAAATAAAACCCACTATATTATTAAAACGTGTGGTTCTATGCATCAGATTCTAGTAAACCTGAAACAACATTCCATATTTTATTACCCTTTTTATTTTTGTTTAGTCTTTCAGGTAAAATAAGGATTATAAACAAAGAATCATGAATCCAGTTTTTAACATTTAGGGTTTTTTTTTAATTTACAAAGTAAATGCTTACTAAGTAAGCTCATGTAAAAGGACCATTTACAGTTGAGAGCAAGACATATAACTGGCCAACAGGAGTGACTGTATTCCTTCTACTCCTCTTCTATCTCCCAGTCTCCCTTTATGGGAGTGTCAATTCCAAGGAAACATATGAAAGTTGTTAATTATAGATCTTTTATTTTATAAAACACAATACCAAGAAATTCTAAGTTTTCAGCTTTCAGTGTCATGCATTGAGGTACATGCATATGCTCTTGAATATAAACCAGAGGCATATTGTTCAAATATTTGACTGTCATTCTTTTCTGAACTAAGTAATCATTTATTTATTGATTTATTCAATCAAAAAACCCCATCTATTAGGCATCTAGTAAGTTTCAGACACAGTCTACACCATGGATATGTGAAGAAAATAAACACTCACACATCTTAAAGGCTAACATGTAGAGGGGATTTAAGTTGATATGAACAAGTATAGAAAAGCCTAAAATATGGAGGACTATCATTGTGCCTTCATTCTACTAGAAATTCCACCTTAACAATTAGAATATTTGGCGTGATGAAAGGGGGATAACCTGGCTTATCATCAACAGCTCCTCCCAAAAAAGTGGCAGGAAAGACAAGGAAAGAAAAGACAATATCTAAGAGAGATTTCAAGATGTAAATTTCATTCTTTCCAACCACTTATAGCCCTAATACTATAAATCTATATGTAGGATTGTAGATATGCCCCTTCTTAGAAACTGATGAGACAAACTGGGATTTGCTGTAGGGAATGAACACTTTCTGTATAGATAACAAAAACAAAAGTTTGACATTTCAGATTTCAAACAATGAAGATTCAGATTCAGGCAGCCTATACACTTCATTAATTGGGCTCATAATCTCTCTCTTGAGATCAGTAAGAAAGTAAGAGGCATTTGACTTGGGATAAAGATAATTTAAAAATAAGGCACTCACTTCCATTTTGGAGTCTTCCATGGATTTAGTATTGTCATTTGGAACAGCTGTCCTGGTAAAATTGAGCTCTGTACAGGAATAATCGGCAGGTTGCTGCATCTGGGGTTTATACTTGAACACCACATGTTCTCCTTCATCTGAATATTTCACTGGTTCAATGAGGTACCTTCGGTCACTCACCCTGAAGAACCCCCTGTGGAAATTGGGAATACAACTGTCTCTTTAAGATCTCTTTCATTTTACTGCTACATTACTTACACAATATTTCTCTGTTCCACTTTATGGAGTTTGCCTTTTCAAGAAAGGGAAACTGCAGAGTCAAGGCCTCATGTAAGCATGTAGCCAGGTATTCTGAGAGACAAAGAGGTGAGATGGCATGTAACCTTTGACTCAATAACTTTTCTAAGAGTCAGCTCATCTGGATTTTCAGAAGTTTAACAGCCCAACCTCTCCTTTGAAGCATAGGTAGAGTAACAATTCCCACCCAGGGTTGAGGACCTCTGGCAAGTGTGAGTTCTTGCAAAAATTTTGTGAATTTTCATGTCCATCATTCATTAATTACAGAGTAAATATATGAAGGTACAGACACTATTATGTGGTAATTGTGTCATTAAAGGGTTTCTCATTCTTTAAAATTCTGGGACCTACTCAAGTAAAATCCTCAAAAATGAAGACACAGGTTTCTTGCTCTTTACTCTTTGCCACCCCACATCTTCTTCCTTTGTCCTTGAGCCCAAGATCTAGAGACAACAATATAGGCTTTACTTCTGACATTTTTTACTTTCCAGAGTCTGGAAACACTGCCTAATTTAGTAAAAAGCTGTGAAGCGTTGTGGTGTGATGCAGTGGGAATTCACAGGCCTACAAATTAGGAGGCCTGGTTTTTGGACAGAGTTCAACCACCAGCAAAATGAATGCTCAGGAGCAAGTCTCTGATGTCAGTATCCTGATCTGTAACATGAGAGGACAGGCTGGATGAGTTCCAGTCACCTTCCAACTCTGAATCCCTTGATCATATACTGAAAAACTTGTCTTGCTTAGGGCTGTGCTTTACATCTTTTTTTCAAAAATGAACATAAACAAGGGGCTGGAGTGGATCCTCATGCTGAAAATATACAGTAGCTTTTTTCCATTAATTTTTCTATTTAAAGGTCTTAAAAAGAAAAGAGAAGTGAATGTCTTTGAAAATTCATAGGAAAACTCATAAAGGTAGAAAGATATGGTGCATACCTCAGACCGTTACATGTGCTGATATTGGCAGCACAATCAAATTCATGTATGATGGATCCTTGGTAAAAACAGTGATCCTAAAATAGATGAAGAGGCTACTGATGTAAGTACATGTATTGATATTATATAAATATTAATACCTACATATTTTACGTTCACAATACATCATTATTTCATTTTCACAAACTACACTTATGTTCATTTCTGCATTCATTCATGCATTCATTCATTGCATTCTTTCATTGGAAAATTTCGAAGCTACTTTAGAAGCCTTTTATTTTAATTGCATGATTACTTTGTGTGAAGCAGTGTATGAATTCTTCTTTCACAAATTTAAGAGTCTATTAGTTGATGCTAACCTCAGAAATGTGACCCTTTTCCTTTGAAATATTACTTTTTTAATCCATCTTAAAATCCTATCAGACTACCCCTCCTGTGCTATTATTATAAATTTCCCCCAGTTGCCTATGAAATAAAGTCAAAATTTTTGATGATCGCAGAAATTAGGTCTCACTCTCCAACCAGGTCCCCTCGTGGCTTTGTCTCCTGCCTCTCTGCTTCGATCAAGTTGGTATCTTTATTACTCCCTACTGGGTGTTCCATCCATGGTGATTCCGCCAAATAATTTCTCTTTCCATCAGTTCCTTATGTTCAGCTCCTGCCTATGTGTGACACTTTCCATGGTCCTGGACCGCAGACTCTCACAGACGAACAACCACTCACTGTATAAAAGAATGTTACCCAGTTTTCTTACTGTTCTATTTTACAAAGATTGTATTATGACTGAGATTTCATAGTTGATAGCTGCCTTAAACAGAGGCAATATGGTTTAAAAGTATACATTTAATAGAAGAGAATAAAGTCATCCTTGGCTAGAAGGCTGCAGTGGGCATGTTCTGTAAAGGGGAATAAATATAAAAATAGAACTCATATCCATTGGAATAATATTCATGATTAATGAACAAGGAGAGGACTCAGTGTTGGTGCATCAGAAGGACAGGGCAAGAGGATTTGACTCCCGTAAGGGTCAGTTAGATGGAGGTTTTAAACTTGTTTCATGTCTTGAAGTTTTATCCTTTAGCTTAATTACTATTCCATCATGGTACCTTATACTTCTCTGGTGTCCTGCTTTACCCTTCCTCCAGACTTAACCCCATTTTGGGTACATAGAAGTCAGTGTGGTAAAGGAAAATACATTAGCAGTCATTGATTTGCTTGTTAGGCAGTGATCAATCTCCTTTAGAGGTCAGAATGTCATAGTTTCTGTTCTAGAATCATTCAGTGATGGTAGTCAATGCAGGAGTAATTTCTGATGTAACACTTTCTGAAGCTGCTTGTAAAGCTAGGATGGGATTTAAAAATCATACGAGGAAACAATAGTTTCAGAGAAGAGACATAGGAAGGTCCCATAAGATACCATGATCTGAGGATGCTTGGTGATCTGCTCTCCTTTTGTGGAGTAGTATGTCTCACTGTAATCTGAGGCTAGGAACTGCCTGGAGAAGAGGGCAGAGAGGTAGTGAGATTCACTTATTCTAAAAAGTTAGCAGATAAAACCTATTATGTGAGAGTGAAGGCTCTAGGCTGCTTTCACTTCTCAGCAAGATCCTCTTATGCTAAAAGCAAATAAGCAAAATCAATCCCAGTCACATGAAAAGCCTTTCTACCTAGATTTCATGGTTTGATAAAGATGGTAAAAGATTCTGGCAGTTTTAACAAGGCATCATTTTGAGAAGAACCTAGAGAAAATATTATCTAAGTAAAAATCTTCTTGCCTTAAGCGCCAAAATTAATGCAAAAAATTGTGATGTATATGTATCATATGTATAAATGTATATACTATATATGTTTTATCTAAATATACAGCTGTTGGGTTAATATGTATTAAGATATATGTATCATATGTACATAGATATGGATTTAACATGATTGCAAAGTTTTTACATTTTACGTGAAATTATACAATATTAACTGTAAATATTGTAACCTCTAAAACAAAAGCTTTAAACTAAAGCAGAGAGATATTGCTATAAAAACAATCGATAAACAAAAAGCCAGTAGATAAGAGTAAAAAAGAAATCAAATAATTCAAAGATCCAAAGAAGGGCAGGAAGAGAAAACCAGAGGAACAAAATCAGAGGCAAACAGAAATTCAATATTAAATACAACCATATCATTCATGACATTAAATGTTAATGGATTAAACTTTCCAATTAGAAATCAGATTGTCAGAATCCACTAAAAAGGCAGAACTCAACTACTTGCCATCTTACAAGAGACACATTTTAAATGTTAAGGCACAGGTAGGTTGGCATGAAAAATAGTACATTATGGAAACAGTAAATATGTGAATGCGGAGCTAAGCTGTATTGATATCAGGTAGAGTACAGTTCCCAAAAAGACGGGCATTCCATAATGGCATAATGATAAAAGAGTAAATTCACCATAAAGAAAAAATAATAGTACATGTGTATAACCTAATAGCTAAGCTTCCAAAACATGAAGAAAATATTTTAAAAATTGAAAAGATAAACAATTCCAAATCATAATTGAATGTTTTGACATTCCTCCCTCAGCAGTTGACAGAACAGATAAACAAGTAATATAAGTGAAAATAGAAGATCTAAATAATCCTATCAACCACTTTGTCCTAATTGTTGTTTACAGAGCACTTCACCCAGTAACTGCAAAATACATATTCTTTTCAAGGTATGTTTAACAAATTAGAACATAGGTTTGGCCATAAAACAAATTGCAATACATGTTTTTAAAAATGATATCATACAAAGCTTGAGAAAGGGTATGTAAAAACTACCAAATATTGGAAATTAAATAACCCACTCTTAAATAATCCATGAATCAAAGAAGAAATCTTAAAAGAAATTAGACAATATTTTGAAAGGAATGATAATAAAAATAAAAGACGTCAAGGTGTTTGAATTGCATCTAAATTAATGCTTGAAGGAAATGTCATGGTTTTAAATATTTTAAATACTATGACAAAAAGATCAAATGTTTGCATAAAAAAGTAAACACTAAATAAGTGGAATAAATTAAATAATAAAGATAATAGATGGATTCAGTGAAATAAACAGACAGTAGCAATAATAAACAAATTCAAAGGGTGGTTATTTAAAAAGATCAACAAATTGATAAACCTCTTTAGATTTGTCAAGAAAAAAAAGAGGGAGAACTCAGATTACCAATATTAGAAATTATAAAAAGATTATCATTTAAGGTACCACAGATATTAAAAGAATAATCAGAGAATATTATGAAATACTTTATACCAAAAATTTGACAACATACGAGAAATATACATTTTCCTTGTAAATTACAATTTAAAACTGACATAAAATGAAATAGAAAATCTGAATAACCCTCTCAATAAAATTGAATTTGTAATCATAAAACCTCCTCCACACACATACACACAAAATGTCCCTCAAGGTAGTTTCATTCGTGAATTCTATTCAACAATCTAAAAATAACATTCTTCAGAAAATATAGGAAGAGAGAACACTTCCCAATTCATTTTTAAGAACACTTCCCAATTCACCTCTTAATATTAAATATGTGACAAAGACATCACACACACAAAACTAAAAATGCAGAATAATATCTATCATTAACATGGTGTCAAAATCCTTAAGAAAATCTTCGTGAACTGTATACAGCAAAGAGAGTTTTATCACAGGGATGCAAATATGGTTTAACATTCAAATATCAATCCGTGTAAATTACCGTATGGACATTTCAATGGATACAGATGAAATGCTTTCAGTAAACTTCTCAGGAAGCTATCTTAATCTCATAAAGTACGCAAATGACAAGTCTATTGGCAATATAATATTAATCATTCAATATTTATCACTTTTCCCTTAAGATCAGGGATACTGTAATATTGCCAACTCTTCTATTTCTACTCAGATTGTACTGGAGTTCCTAGCCATTACAATAAAGCATAGAAATAAAAGGAATAATGACTAGAAAGAAAGATATACAACTGCCAATACTTGCTGATGAACATCTCTAAGTAATCTATGAAACAATAGATAAATCCGTAGATTAAGACCTCACAATAGAAAAATGAAATAATAAAAAACAATTCTGCTTACAAGAGCACTGAAAGCATTAAATATGTAGAAATACATCTAAGCAAAGACATCTGAGAGCTGTACACTGTAAACTACAAAACATTGTTGATAGAAATTAAAGATCTAAATTAATATAGAGATGCAACACGAAGACTCAATATTGTTGATATCAATTCTTTTAAATTCATGTGTAAATTCAGTAAAATCACAACCAAACTTCTAGCAGGCTCTTTAAAAAATAAAAATTAACAAGTGAGTTCTAAATTTTATAGAGAAATGCTAAGGATCTAGAATTTTTTTTAATTCTGCAAAAGAAGAGCAAAATTATATAAGTTACCCACACTGGCTTTTAGACTTACTTTAAAGCTGCAGTAATCAAGACAATGTGGTCATAGCTTGGGGATTGAAAAGGAGGTGAACAGGATAAAATAGAGAGCTCAGAAATAGTCATTTGCTTTTGGTCAAAGGTGCAAAAGCTATCCAATCCAAAGAAAGGCAATTCAACAAAAGAGGCTGGCTATGTATATGCAAAACCAAGAACCTTGACCCACCTTCAAATTACACACACACACACACAGGCACACACACACAAACACAAACACAAATTCAAGATGATAATAGACCAAAACTAAAACCCTGAAAACGTTAGAAAATTTAGTAAATTGAAATTTCTTCAAAATTATAAATTTTACTTTTTAAAAGAATATTAAGAAAATGAATATAAAAAGTAACAGGGCGGAGAAAACAGTTAACAAGAAATATATCTGACAAAGGGCTAATCTCCAAATTGTATGAAGATCTTCAACTCAGTAAAGGACAATTAACCCAATTAAAAATGGGTACATATTTAAACAGACACTTTACAAAAGATATACAAATGGACAATAATCACATAAAAAAGTTTTCAACAGGGAACTGAAAACTTATCCAAAATGAAATATCACCACAAACCCACCAGTATAACTAAAATTCAAAAGGGGCGAGAACACAAAATGACAAAGAGGATTTGGAGCAACTAGAATTCTCATACATTGTTCGCAGTATTTTGGAAAATGATCTGACAATTTTTTATAAAACTAAACATATACATACCCTGTGATCCAGAAACTTCACTCCTTGGCGTTCACCAAGGAGAAATGAAAACATATATTTATAAAAGGACTATACAAGAATGCTCATTCAAGCTTTACTCATGATAGCCAAGTGCTGGAAACAGCCAAGGTCTGCATCAATAGAATGGATAAAAAAATGCTAATGTGTGTGTGTGTGTGTGTGTGTGTGTGTGTGTGTGTATACATATATATATATATATATGTATATACACCCCCCCACACACACACATATATATATATATATATACATATACATACACATCATGGAGTAGTACTCAGAAAGGAAAAGAACCACACTTCTGATACATGAACTACATGAATGAATCTCTGTCTATGGAATGCTAAAATAAAGAAGCCTTACACAAAGGGTACATGCAGTGTAAATCTATTTATAAAAACTTCCAGAATGGACAGAATAATCTATGATGAGTAAAATCTCTGTGAATAGGTTTTGAGAGAAGTTGACTAGGAAGGAGGAGGAGGAAATTTTCTGAGTGACAGTTCTTTTATAATTCACTTGTATAGAAATTTGGGTAACACAGGTACGTGCATTCATCAAAATTCAATGCATGTACACTTGAGGTTGTGCATTTCATTGCATGAAAATTTTACATCAAAAGAAAAACTGTCAACACATATTAAACTCTAATGATATGCTTGCTGAAGTACTTAGGGGGAAGTATACTAATGTCTGCAATATAATTTGGTATGCATAAAAATAAGATGGAGGATGGATGGATGATAGAGGAATGGATAGACAAAGAAATATGATATAAAATAAATATAGTGAAATGTTAATGAGCATATTTGTATTTGTATGTCTTGATGGGATTATGGGTATATGTTTATTCATTTATTCAACAGTGGTGCACAAGATACAGGTCACTGCCCTCAAGGAAGCCACAGCTTGGCAAAGAAAAAATCAAGCAAATGTAATTGGGTATTATAAGCATCATAATACGAGAAATTCAGTGACTGTGTGAGAGATATTGAAAAGAGGGGTCAGGGGCAAGGAACAGCACATGCAAAGGCCCTGAGGTAGGAAGAAGCTTGACACATTTGAAGGACAGAGAGAGGTTTAATATTGCCAGAAAATCAAGTGTAAGTTGAATAGAAATGAGAAACGAAAAGTTAGGAAAGAGTCAAATCATGTACAGCCCACTAAGTCACTTAAGAGGATTTGGACTTTAGCCTAAGAGCAAAGAGAAGCAAAAGGTTTAGGCAGAAGAATGCAGAAGTTGGTCTGGTATTTTAGATGGCTTGCTTACTATGGATAATGGATCAGCAGAAATCACGACTGTAGGCAGAAAAAGAATTTACAGGTTA